CAGAGCGGTCGAGGAAAGTGGCTGAGCAGGAATTGATGGATGCAAGTGAGAGAGTTCAGCTCCTCCACACTCAGGTTAGATTCAAAATCTCAAGAGTCCTTATTTCTTTTACTTTGCAGATTTTTCATCTGAGTTCTTAAATCATCCATTGTAATAAAAAAACCTGAACCACAATTATTACCCCTGGCAAAGAGCTGTTTTACAGTTAAATGAGTAGGATTACATTAACAGGAGTCGGAAGTGCTTCCTAAAATTTTAAGAACTCGCTACTATCTAGCTGTGTATGACTTGACAAGCTGCAACAGTTGAAGGAGGATGCTAACATTAGATACATAGATGATAACTTTAAATTTAAAAAGCAAATTTCTAAAATACGTGTTCTGTTTTAGAAATAACTTGACTATGTTTTATTTTTCAACAGAACACCAGCTTAATAAACACCAAGAAGAAGCTGGAAACAGACATTGCCCAAATTCAGGGTGAAATGGAGGATACAATCCAGGAAGCCCGCAATGCTGAAGAGAAGGCCAAGAAAGCCATCACGGATGTGAGTCATGGACTCCTTTCATTGCTGATGGTGGATGCATTCTTACCTGAAGTGTCTCTATCCCCAAAATTGCTTTGATTATTTGGTCTCACCAGGCAGCCATGATGGCAGAAGAGCTGAAGAAGGAGCAGGACACCAGTGCCCACCTGGAGAGGATGAAGAAGAACCTGGACCAGACGGTGAAGGACCTGCAGCACCGTCTGGATGAGGCCGAGCAGTTGGCACTGAAGGGAGGCAAGAAGCAAATCCAGAAGCTGGAGGCCAGAGTGCGTAGGGCTGGTATTTGTGCACCTGCAAGCATGTCACGTAAGCAGCCAGCAGGGAAGCTCCAAAGATGGGCTTCTCATTGCAGGTGCGTGAGCTGGAAGGGGAGGTTGATGCTGAGCAGAAGCGCAGTGCAGAAGCGGTGAAGGGTGTGCGCAAGTATGAGAGGAGGGTGAAGGAGCTGACCTACCAGGTAAGGCAGGAGGCCTCCTTGGGCTGACAGAGTTTTCTCACAGCAAGTCAGATTTTGTGCACGCCATCCCCAAGGGGAAATGTTAAGCTCCCACACTGCAGAACCAAGAATTCCTTCTCTTTCCTGTTTGCCAACTGCTCTAGTCTGAGGAAGACAGGAAGAATATTCTCAGGCTGCAGGATCTGGTGGACAAGCTGCAGATGAAGGTGAAATCGTACAAGAGACAAGCTGAGGAGGCTGTAAGTATTGCTTGGAGTATTCTCCAAGCAAGTGTTGCTTCCAGTGCGTGTCACAGAGGTGCTGAAGAGATGAATATCAGAAATTTGGAAAATGCCAGTGATCAGCAACCAAGCGTTTTAGGGTCTTTGTCATCCAGATAAACCCCCCCTGATGCCTGAGCACCAAACAAGGTATAGAATGAGTACACAAATGACAAGATCAAGAGACGAACTAGGTCCTGAATTGTGACACAGTACTGGTGAAGCTTGTCACAGTGGGGTTCTGGATAAGGGAGGATGAGGAGGTCTGTGTGAGGCTTATGTGTAAGCAGTGGTGGATAGGAGACAGAGATCTTCACTTTCCCCCAGGGAAGAGCCAGTCACAGGAGTAAAACCCCTGCTCTGGGCTCATCATCGCTGACTCCCTCTCCCCACACAGGAGGAGCTGTCCAATGTCAACCTCTCCAAGTTCCGCAAGATCCAGCACGAACTGGAGGAAGCTGAGGAGCGGGCTGACATTGCAGAGTCGCAGGTCAACAAGCTCCGAGTGAAAAGCCGTGAGTTTCATGGCAAGAAGATAGGAGAAGAAGAGTGAGGATGTGATGAGGCAGCAAAGTGACCTGAGGGCTGCACAAAATGTGAACCTCTCGGTCACTTTCTTCTGCAATGAGTCTTTGTACCCACCTCGATGTCTAGAGAATAAAGATCATAGATTTCTTTGCGTACACAGCAGAAGCAGTGCTTTTGGTTATTACCATTCAATTCAGCAGTTACATAAGTTTGGGGTATTTTCAAATGAATCATTTTATTTCACTTTAACCCTTGGATAGCAGTAGAGCTTTAACTATCTCATCTCCAGTATTTCTCCACTGTGTCCAATTACATTACTGGGTAGGGAATAACATTTAGTTCCCATACTGACAACAGGAGAGGATCAGGACAAAGGCAGGGTGAGTGATGTCCCTGTCCTGGCACAGCAAAATGTTTCTGCCTTGGAAAGCCCTTTTTCTAAATGGGTGCCGTACAGATGCAGATGCTCTCTTTGCTGGTCACATTCTCACTTTGGCAATTTAGATTTAGAGGCAAGTTGCTCCATTAAAAAAAATCTGGAGCTCCAAAGGCATCTAGATGGCTCTGAGTCCTTGTGGATCAACTTATGCAAGGACTGAGGTGCTGCCTTCTTTCAACAAGGCAGGTGAAGGTCACAAACTCTAGAGTGGCTTTTTATTGAGCACAAATTAAAGATCAGGCAGAGCTTTTTTTTATGGAAGAAGTTATTAGCAGTCAGTTCTAAAACAAAACAAAACAAATAATGTACTTGGATAAGAAGACATTGCAGTTCCTTACTTTCTCTGTTAGATACAATAGTCAATATTAAGACAGAATGTTCCTGTTGTAAATTAAACAGATTGGTGAACAGATTGGTAGAAGTAAGTGTGGAGAAGAAGTTTCACTATGGGATAAACCTCAACCAATGTAAAGTGAAGAGCCATCACAAAAAGCTAGGAACTGCTGCAGTATTGAACAGTGTTTTCTGGTACTGAAATATAAATATAAGATTTTATATATATATATACTATATATATATAATATATATATATATAGTATATTAT